CCGAAGTCAAATATTATAATTTTTACTAGTTCATTAGTGTAAGTCCAAACTATTCATTTTTTCCTTCGTTATTGTTGTTGCTATGAACACTTTTTCCATTACCACAACAATTTATACTGTCCTTTTGAACATTAATTGGATTTTCCTCCTAATATCCATCAGAAATTTTTTCAAAAAATATAAACTATTGTAATAAAGGTCATCACTCTATTTTGGGAAGAAACCATATACAAATTGGGTTTGCAAGAAAGTAAGATTGACTGATTTGATTTTATATCTTGGCTAAGCTAATCCCTAGATTTAGGTAAGAATTAACTTTCTTGCGATGTATAAGATAATCATATATCTATATAATAAAATAGAACGAAATTTAAATTCAAAAGACAAAAAGAGGTCCAGATCATTTTGAGACAAAACATAAACACATCCAACGGACAACGTAATTTCAATATAAAAAACGGTTCAGATCATCTCAAAAATTTTAATCTAACAGTCTATAGTGAATATTGAATTTTATTTTCCCGCCTAATAACATTTCTTGACTCACGTCTCTCAAATATTTTTCAATCCCATTCAAAACCCAAAACCCCGCTTGGCTGTACACACACACACCCCCAAGCACTCCAGCCCAGCGAAACTCACTCTCTCTCGTCTATGAATAAAGAACAAGGCCCCTTATCATCTCCTTCTCTCTCACTCTCTCATCGATCGCTCCTTTGTAGATAAAGACCCAACTCAAGCCAAACTCTTTCTCTCTACCCTTCCTCTGCGGATAGACCTATCACTCCTAAATCCTTTCTATCTCTCCAAATTCACTCTTTTGGATCCCCGAATTCAAGCCTCCTTACTCTCTCTTTCCACTAACCTTCCTTTCTTTCACCCAAATCTCATCTCTTCCAAATCTCCTAGGTTTTTCGCCACTGTAAAACACCTACCCCATCCCTTTTTTACTCTCTCCCTCTCGCTCTATTTCCAGCCCTGAAACTCCCTTCCTTCATAGCCACCAACACCACGAAAATCAGCACTCCACACCACACCACCGGTGACCAATGACCTAAACGAGACTAATAACCACCACAACGAAAAGCAACTAAGCATTGATGAAGTGAATCTAGATGCGAAAGGGAGTTCACCACCGCCCTAGCAATCTCAGGTGGTCAACCACCACCCCTTCTCTCCTCTTGCCCCCATGACCATGTTAATTTGGGGGTAATTTGCTTGCTTTGTTCTCTTTTGTCTTACATTTATTGGGTTGACAATGTTTCTTGTGTATCTCACATGCTCAATAATTTTTTTTATGGTGTTTCGGTTGTATTGAGCAATTAGATAATGGCTTAGGTTTTAATAGGAGTGCCAACTTTGATTGCTCAGAATTTGATAACAGCTTCGGTTTTTCGTGCTCCATTAAATTGGCTTTGATTGACATAAATGTCGAACCTTAAGTGAATTATTCATTGACCTATCTTCTTTTTTTTTGTGATCTTGGATTATATTTTTGTTGAATTTGTTGGGTTTTTTTTAATCTAATGTGAGTTTTTGTGTAGCTTCAGTCTCTGTATGAGCTTCAATCCTTCATCCCTTATTTTTTGAATTTGTATATTTTTTTTATATTCTATATGATTTTTGGTTATTGGTTCTATTCATATTCTCATGTTTGTTTATTTATATTTTGTTTTATTTCTAATTATTTTATTATTTGTTGAGTCAAATTCCAGCGAAACTCATGTGTTCGAAAATTTTCTCAAAACACAATGGACATCAGGGAGACTCTCCATTTCCTTTTTTATTGGACATGTAAGTTCTTGCTTTCTAATGTATCATTTGGCAGGGGCATATCGGATTGGATCATAAAATTACTAACCCCGCAACAAACTTGCTGCTTTTTGGGTATCTCTTACTTCTTAACCCATAAGTTCCTTATATTGCCAATGTTATATTACAACGATCACTTTTTATTTTTTTTTATGAGCCTTTGTTGTTTAATATTTCTATTTTAAGCTTTGGATGCTTGATTCACCAAGCATATTCATATATTTTTTAAGCTTTGAATGTTTGGTCAACAAAATTTTACTATTTATATTCATGATTTTTGGTTGTCGTAATATCGACTCCTGTCAAAAAAAAAAAGGTTATTTTGCTTTGTTATGATTGATTAATACAATTCATCCGCAAAAAAAAGAACATAATTCACCATATATGGAATATTACTTATCAATTGAAATTTTGATCCATCATAGGTCTACCTTATCGGTTACAAACAAAAAAAATTGTTATACTAATTAAATTTTGTGATACCACCAATCGTAACATTAAAGTCTCAAAATGTAGTATGTTGTGAATAAACACGATTCATTTGTTTCTTTCACATTATTCTGTCTTTCGTTAGCTCTCTTCTTTTCTAATCAAAGGTGAATAACACCAAGTAGAACAAGATTGACATTTATCATCGAAAGATTTTAAAGTCTAGCCCTAAAATTTCTTTGCTGCTTATAAATTATGGGAAATATTTGCATTAGGTACACTTTAAATGATTATTTTTTTTTTGAAAATAATATCAAAAGTTTTTCAATACATGTGAAAATTTTTTTGATTAACCAAATTGTCTTTATAAAACATAAAAATAGACAACAGTAGATGTTTTAGTAATATTTTATTACTTTATAAACACTTGTTGGTCACCAATATTCTTTAATTACTTCAATGAGTTAAACACACTAGTTCTAAAATGCAATAGGGATCCTTAATTGACAAAATCCCAAAGGAAGTGTTCTTAAATTTACTCCTACCCTTTATAGACCGGTTGGAATTTTTTAACTCCTCAACATTGCACATTGCACATTTCACCTTCTCCTTATTAATTTTTGAATGTTAAAGGCTCAAATTTAAAGATCCCCATAGCAAACATATGAGAGACCTTTTTTTCTCGCACATTGAATTCAATCCACTCTTCTTTTTGAAAAGCACTTCAAACTAAGCATACGGGCATCAAACCAAAGAATTTCTTCCAAAGACACAATAATAACATACCAAGAATTGACACCATTGAAATATTGAATAGGTAGTAGGTTATTCTTTTGTATTTATAATTCACTATTTTGTTCTTATAAAAAATTATAATGACTAACATATTCTTTTGTATTTAAATATCTAAATTATCATTATATCCCTATGTTTTTAAATGACAAACTAATCTCTAACAAATTATATAAATCTCTCTATCTTTGCAAAACTTTTGAATTGTCATGGTATGCTTAATTTGATATATAAAAAAATATTATTTTTTTTTCAAATCTTAATATTAATACACTTCCACAACTCTATTCATACAATATTATTTCTAACGTCCAAACAAACATATATATAATTTTTCCCTTTATTCACAATCAAAATAATTTGGTAAAAAATAATTGAGACACAAAATAAAAACAAGAAACACAAAAAAAATAAGAAAAAAATTTATAACTCTTACTATTGGGTAGTTTCGAATGAAAGAATTATAGAAAATAAGCCCATTTGATATATATAGTTATAAAAAAATATTAATAATTTAAAAATAATAAATATAAAATAATATCTAATTATAAATTTTATCAAATATTTTAACAAAAAAATTCACGGGGTGCATTGCTAATGTAATTAAAATGGAAAGTGAAAAGGTAAAAATCTAACTCATTCGGTGGACAACACAACGTCCCGCAAAAAAACCAAAAAAAAAAAAAAGAGCTGAATTTGGCTCTAAACACATTTAGACATACACATGAAATGGAATTCTGGAATCAAAACTCAGCAATCTTGCTAGACTCTTACTCTCTTAGCTCACGTATACACAACCGACAACTCCTCTCTGTTAAGTTCTATGGCCTCCACCTAGCATTCACATACGGATCCATAACTTATACAACGACAAGAAAGAATACCAACATCATTATTCTTTATATGTCTGCTCTTTTGTCCTACTTGCATGCATAACTCCCCAAAAAACCAGGCTTCAAGGAGAAGCATTGAACAGTTGAAGGCTTTTCGCCTATACCCCATCACTTGATCAATATTTTGGACAATCCCATAGCGCTTTACAACATATATACCAAACCGTGCAAGAACACTACCAAACAAACTTACGTAAAAAAGAGGTTATTATAACTGACAAATTAAGTGGTGGTGACGAGGTAGGGCGAGTTTGTTTTTGGTGTGGTTAGAGAGAAAAGGCTACAGCTTTTTTCTGTAGAATGTCACGTAAATGAGCCGCTTATGCGGGAAAGCCTCATGATAATATGGGAGTAACGTAAATTTGCGGCGTGAGTGCCACTGCCACTGCCACGCCGCCTAAGGTGTGCCGTGAGAGCGTGACAAGTATCACAAAGGACAGATAAATATGCTTCCATTTTTGGAATGTTACACTTATTCTTGGGAAGGGTCTAGACTGGAGGCTTTTTTTGTCATTGGATTGGCTCCTAATACATATAGAACAACAACTCAAAAATTATCTATGATTTATATATGTTAAATATTATGTAATCTTCGATTAAATCAGGTCCATAGTCCGATGAGATGAGTAGGGGTTTAGACAAGATCTCAAATTCTCAGGCTTCATCAACCACTACTGTCTGTAATTAACAATAAGTTGATCTTACAGGGCTTCTCTTTGGCTTGGCTATTTGGTAGGTGCCTCATGCACGCGACTCTTGAAGCACGTGATGATAACTATGCTTTGTTTGGTGAATGATTTTAGCGTACGCCACCTACTATGACTCCAGCCACTTGTCATGCAACAAGGATGAGCTCAAAGCGCACACTTTCTCTTCATTCTCCTATTTATATAGTTTGTGTTGAACCACATTCTTATGTCTTCGTCCTTTGCATGAGATTAGGGGACTGGCCGGGAAGGAGATCGAGAGAGATAGCTAGATCGAGTTGGGTTTCATTGGAGGGGACTCTAGCTAGCTAATTATTCAATTTTGAGAGAGAAAAGTATCTAAGGTTTTAACTCTTTAATCTGAGAGATGGCGATTTTTGACCATCACCACCCATGGGTGCTTACATTTGGTGTCTTAGGTAAATTCACTTACTTTCCTTTACTTGTGTTTTCTGCTAATCATGAAGCAGGTCCAAAATGCACAATCATCAGCTCCGGTGACTGCTCACCAGGATTACTTTTCCAGCCAACCTAGATCAGTTGCCACATTTTGTGTTTGTTGTTGATTTGAAGATAAATTTGCGTATACATAAAAAAGCAATTACTTGCATGTCAAACTTCTGTGGCTTCTTCTATTATGGTGTAAATAAAAAATGCTGTTCTGTTTTGCATGATCAACCTTCCTTTCTGTTTGATAATAATATAATATATTTTACAATACATTAGTTGAAGAGAATGGGATCAATGATAAACTAACTTAAGTTATTGCCAATTTGTAAAATTTGGTTCAACTATATGTAAACTTGCATTTTTATGGTTTGTTTACACTTGGAACGTATTAGAATGGCCAGTTAATTATCTATTAAACCTTCTTGTTTTGAAAATCACTTATCGAGATCTTCTTTTTAATCTATTTCAGGTAACATTGTTTCAATCTTTGTATACCTTTCTCCATTGTAAGTAGCTTATTTTATTGGCTTTCTTCTTAATTGAAAGCTCTGTTTGCTTCTACTTTATTACTGTCATGTTTCATTGAGTTACTTGAGGCTGTCCACTTTCATTTGCAGGCCAACATATATCCGGATTTATAAAAGGAAATCAACTTTGGGATTTCAATCTCTTCCTTATGTGGTAGCTCTATTTTCTGCCATGCTTTGGTTGTACTATGCATTCCTTAAAAAAGATGCACTCCTCCTAATATCCATCAACTTGTTCGGATGTGTCATTGAGACAATTTACATCGGCGTTTACCTCTTTTATGCATCCAAAGAGGCTAAGGTACTTAATTAATTAATGGTTATCTTTTAGAATTCATATAGAAATATTGAAGCATCTCAGTCTGTACCTTTTTTATGTTCTAACTATGGAAATGTGGGATTACGTACAGAACCATACGACAAAGCTACTTGCTTCTTTGAACGTGGGGTTGTTCTCTGCGATTTTTCTCTTCACGCTCTTTTTGGCAAAAGACTCAAATCGGGTCGTAATTGTTGGATGGATTTGTGTTGCTGTTTCTGTGAGTGTTTTTGCAGCACCTCTAAGCATTGTGGTGAGGATATGCTCATTGCTAGCTAAAATTTTACACACTCGCCGCCATATATGTATCTTCTTTCTAACTTGTTTGTTTCCCATTTCTATTCTGCTTCACAGTTTCAGGTTGTCCGAACTCGGAGCGTTGAGTTCATGCCATTTACCCTTTCTTTCTTCCTCACATTGAGTGCAGTTATGTGGTTTGCATACGGTTTACTGCTGAAGGATTTATGCGTAGCTGTAAGTTTCCCTGCTGTGATAATCTGCGCATGTATATATAATTATATATATATAAATATCGCTGGCAACCATTGATTAATCTTTGAACCTTTCTGGGTATTTGAATTTTGTAGCTCCCAAACATTCTGGGTTTCTTCTTAGGGCTGCTTCAGATGTTGTTATATGGGATTTACAGAAATGCCAAGAAAGTGGTGGAGGAGAAAAAACAGCCGGAACACATAATAAACATAGCGGTGGTAGGGGACTGTGAAATACATCAATTTGAGCCAAAAACAAGTGGCAGTGGCAGTGGCAATGTTGTGGCTGAAGAGGAAAAGAAGGATGAACAAACAGATGGCCATCATAAAACTGTAGCTTCGGAAGACGACGAACCGGGCGGAATGAATGTACAGACTGTTTCACCTGTGCTTGTCATGTGTGCAGCTTGATTTTCCATTCGCCATCCATACATCTTCATTCACTTCATTTACACACACACACACACACTCTCTCTCTCTCTCTCTTTCTTTCTCTCTCTCGGCCTCGGGTTGTATTGCAACTGTATGAAGTATTGCAAATGTATGAAACAAAAAATCTACATTTGAATACTTTTTACTCTTACTTTGTACCTGCAAGTCACCTGCCAATGTAGTGGTACTTTACAAAACCGCAAGCTATTCATGTCCATCCACCAAATAAAAGTAAAATAGGATAAAGCTATACTGCCATAAGGGAGCTTTAACGGTTTAGCCCAAGGTGGAGTCAGAAATTATTCATCAACCTAGAACTATTTTAAGGGTAATGGTACCTCAATTTAAAAAATAAATTTAATAATTATAATTATTGAATAAATAATGAGTCTCAATAAATATTGAGACTTATAATAAAATCAAGAAAAATATTATTTGAACCTTATTTGAGGATCTTATTTAAAGACCTAATAATGTGTAACCATTAATTGCAAAGTCCCTATAGCATTACTCTAAAATTAATAGATATAATTATCAAGTCTACTTTTTAAGTTCATGTAACATTACTCTTATTTTAATATCAATATAAAAAATGATAGTTGAACTTAAAAAGTTGACTTAAAATATGTACTTGATAATCACAATTATTGAATAAATAAAAGATCTTAATAAATAGTGGGATCTACAATAAAATCAATGGTTGTGACTATCAACTACATATTTTAAGTCCATATAGCATTGCTCTTTTAATACTTTTTTATTTCAAAAAATTTATGCATAATTAATTCAAAATTAATATGTTTTGTTTGACTCAAACTCCATATTTTTTTTCTTTTTGAAAACAAATTTAATAATTTATCATTGAGTTTTTGACAAAATAACTTATTAGAACTAGAAGTATTCATTTAATAGACATAATGTAGAAAAAAAAAATGTATTTGGCACAATTTTATTAAACCTTAGATACAAGAATATTTTGACTGATCACAGATAAATTGTTAAAGTCTAATTGTTTGAATAATTTAATTAAAAATATAAATTATAATAGACAGATTACAATATATAGTACAATTAAATTAAAAAAAATATTTGAATCTTAATTTATTATTCCTGCATTCTAATTTCAATTTCTAATATTATGATTTCTAAGTTCAAACCCTAATTTATTATCATTTCAAATATCAAGCCCAATTTCAATTTAAATTAACAAAAAAAAAATAAAGGGGAGAAGATAACAAGAAGATAGAAAAATAGAGCACTGACCACAAAAGTCAAGTTAAGGAGAATGATTGTTTCAAAATCACTAAAACTCATTGTAACAATAACCGACCAAGTATAGTCTTATTAGTTATCCTTCATTTTATCAATTACAAGGTGAATGAGTCAACCCTTGATAAAGGTCAAGATTGATTTCTTTTAAAATGTTTGCTCATTTATTATTGACACGTTATTCAAAAGATGTAATCGTTAATTATTTATGTTATAATAAGAGTAATACCACACAATCCAAATAAAATTCAAAATATTACAACCCAAATGAAATATTATCATTTAGATGTGTGAGCCTTATCAATTTTTTCAATAGGACTCACTCATGCAATACTCATGCAATGGAAGATATGAATTTGGATTGCATTTTTTGGATTTTATTTGAGTTATATAGCATTTTTCATTAAAAAAACCTTATTGTAACAATTTTAATTTAAGTCGTACGAAAAAAGTGTAAGTCTAATTTTTTTTTTTAACAAAAGAATACAATTTATCTAAAATATAAGTTCGCAATAATATTATATGTATTTAATTTAGAAATTTAATTTGAAAATCTAATCTATTGTAGTCATTGGATTAAACACGTACTAGATCTCGCTAAATATTGGTATCTACTAATAATCAAATGATAACAATACAAACTTATTTTTTTATATAAAATTTTTAATGAGGGCAAATTTCAATTTTTTTAAAAAAAATTCTAACATTTCAAATAACATCCAAACTTTTCAAAATTTTTGTGGAGACAGCTGCCCCCACTGCTCCCATGTTGAATCCACCCTTGATTTGCCTACCCCCATTTGACTGTACGAGCAAATATTTAATACAAAGATGTGCAAAGTCATTATCGACACGTGTTATAATCATCTAATTATGACTCGCTAAGCAAAAGTGTATACCATGTTCAAATTCATTAAAGTTAACCGATTATGCTAAGAGTTCATGGTAATTTGATTTAAAGGGAATTCTACAGTCTATGAGATAATATGGTAATGGATGCTGACGACATATATCGACAATTTTATATTAATGCCATATTCAATATTTACTCGACTGCCTGAGTATAGTAGATCTCATATTCCAATACACTGAAGTTAACTGATTATGCTAGAGTTGGCAGTAATTTGATTAAAGACTCCTCTTGCTCAAAAAGCAGACCAAACGCGTTCAGGTTATTGGCTCGTCCGACCCGGCAGCATTCATGAGTTGCTCATTCAACCGTTCGTAGGAAGTACCATGCATGATTGCCCCCGTCCTTTCTTTCTCTCGGTCCCACCCAGCAAGATAGCTATAGTGGCCAAACCCAGAAAGGTAGCAAATACAAGAGCAAAGAGAAACGTAATCAACTTGGATTAGAAACTGGGGTTAGAGGCTAGAGGTGTTCTCTTGTATAGATAATGGGTATTCACAGGTCCTCTTGCAAGAGGGAGCTCTGGGATGTAACATATTTGATACAGAATCACTCTAGTTTGAATATCAAGAGTAACATACTTTAGAAGGAGTTATCAACAGACAGGGTGGCCCGGGCATATAAAATGTTTTAATGAAACAAAACAATTAGTTGATGATAGCATGTCACAGAAAATACTACAGACAAACAATGTTTATTGTAGCAATACCTACTAGATCCAGCAGAAGGATATCATCAGACGTGTTTACTCTCAAAACTTTTAAATATGTCCCGTTCTTCTGCTAGAATTTTGATACGCAATACATATACACTCTCCTTGAGCTCTTTTACTCCTTTGTTTCAGGAAAACAGTAAAAGTTAAGCTCCAATAGTCTCTCTTGCAGCAGAAAAATTGAACTTGTGGTATGAATAAAGCACCTAGAAGCCTCGGCTTCCCAGGTTTCTTCACTTCATCTCTTGTGCAAGCAGAGAATGAGCCAAGGTGGAAGATGAAGCCTTGCAATGTACATTTGGACGCTACCCATTATTGCCATCAAAACTACCTTGAGCACTTCGCAGTCTTTTTTCACGCCAGTTCTCTCCCCACATCTTGGCCTCTGCAACAGCTCGTTCTCTGTCTAAATCCCTGTTTAACATCCTTACAGTTTCTCTAGGAGAGTCGTCCTTCTCAGATCCTTCCAATTCCCACTTGCATCCTGATCCTCCTCCGTCTTCATTCCTTGATATTTTTCCACCTCTCTCATCTCTGTTTCTTTTCTCATCCTTATCTCCTAATAATCTGTATCCATGTCCAGGAGCTGTACTAGGGTCGAATGCCTGATTTGCCAGATAAGATAGGGCAGTGACCACATCCCCAATAAGAGGACGAGCAGCAGCCTGTTCTTGGATACACATGGATGCCACAGCTAGAGCCTGGTAGAGAGCCCGCATAGGATACTGACCCTGCAACCTTGGATCTGCCAATTTTGCTAATTTCCTTCGGTCATTAAACAATGGGCGTGCCTGTAGTAATGTAGACATAATTAGTTAATTTCGCAAGAGCTAATAGTGGGTACACTAGGCAGATAAAATATGGCCTTCCATAAAACATGATAAATCCAGGCAAGCACATTAAAAGAGAGTTAAGTCTAATACCCAGGCAACAAGATTCTGTTGTCCATGGGGCTGGGTGCTGTCAATGGCTTTACGTCCTGTTATGAGCTCTAAGAAGACTACCCCGAAACTGTAGACATCAGACTTCACCGTTAATTGCCCTGTCATGGCATACTCAGGAGCACAATAACCGTAAGTGCCCATGACCCTTGTGGAAACATGCGACTGGTCTCCAGTAGGGCCAAGCTTTGCAAGTCCGAAATCAGACAGCTTTGGGAAATATCCTTCATCTAGTAATATGTTTGATGACTTGAAGTCCCTATAAATTACTGGAGGGTTTGCCTTATCATGGAGATGCTCCAACCCTTTGGCAGCGCCAGCAGCTATCTTCATTCTAGTGTTCCAATCTAATGGTTCTTTATCAGGTGGAAGATCTACATGCATATAACCAAGTATTAGTCTCGTCTTACCAACATTAAGAGCAGCCTATCAATATAAATGATTGCAAACATTTCTTAGAAATTAGTGAATGCAAATGCCAAAAAAACTGTATATTTTTCCTTGATGAGTAAAATGGACCACATTCGTACTAGGCAATTCAACAAACTTTACACATAGTACAGCAGGCATATACATATGACAAACTTTTCTTTTCCCCTCTTTCTTTTTGTTTAGGCTTCCAATATTAATTTTGTAAATATAGCAACCAAATATAAAGGAAAGGGCTTTTTTTCCTTACTGTTCTTTTGGTCTGTGGTCAACTCGCATAGTTCACTTCTGTTTGGCAACATGGCATTGGCAAGGCAAATTTGATGAGAACACGAGCAGTCTGATATTTAAATCGGTCAGGGCAACCTCGATAACAGAACTAGGAATCTCCTATACCGACATATCTCTATGATTCATCCACACAATAAATTATACACCTTCACAGCCCAGTGATGCAATCCATAAGAAGCTCAAGGAAACGCAAATTCGAATATGTGAAAGATAATGAAATTGGTTTTCCATCAAGACAGAGATCCATATAGAACCTTGCATTCTTATTTTAAGTCAATTTGCTAGTATTAATACTTTATATGTCCTTTTAATATTTTTTAGTGTTAGGGATATTTTTGTAATTTCTAGAATTTTTAGAACTGGTCATATTTTTTGGTCAAATTCTAGTATTGAATATTCTAGAATTTAAAGTCCTAATTCTAGTTAGTTTTAGTTTTCTAATTTGTAGGGACCTAATGTTTTTGGAATCCTAATCTTTTGCGATTAGAAATACTTAGAACTCTATATATAGTTAGTGTTACTTTTAATAAAATATAGATAGGGAGAGATATTCAAAAATTTCGACAATTACATACTTTTTGAGTTGTGTGATGCCATTCTAACCCTAGGCGTGATGCCTAAAGAACCCTAAGAGTGATTCCTAGTCAAAGTTATTGTTCATGACCTCATTATTGTTCACAGCCCAATTACTGTTCATGGATACTGTTCACATCCCCTATTTTTATTTTGCAAAGTTGTCCTACATCAGTTTGTTATAAGAGCTGAAAAATCCTATGTTATGCGGATTAAATATTGACATGAGAATGGAGATATAAGATTTTGATGGAAGGAATAATAATACAATATTCTCTTGTTGGCTTACTTCTATTGAGGAATACTTTACCAAGTATAATTTTTCGGATGAGTAAAGAATAAGGTTTGCCAAGATGAAACTTATAGGCATAACAAAAATTTGGTACTTTGGTGTTGACAGAAATATAAAAAGATTGGAATTGTCGTCAATCAACACATGACATGAGATGAAAGCTAAGCTTCAACAGAAGTATATGCCCTCAAACTATCTTAGAAAGTTGTGCAAACAACTTATTAATCTGCAACAAGATAACTTATCTGTCACAGAGTATATTCAAAGATTTGAAAACCTAATGTTAAAAATCATATCATAGAAAAACCTTGACAAACAATTGCTCGATTCAAGACTGGTTTAAGAGCAAATATAAATGCAGAAATACTTGGGCAGCCACTATACAACATAGAGCATGCATTCCAAGTAACATTTGGTGCGGAGATGTACCTAAATTTCCTTCACCAAGTAAGTACATCAAGGATTTCTTCTTCCCAAAGGGTTAAAACTCAAAAGTTATTTAAGTTCTACGCTACAACTAGAGAAGATTCATCAAAAGCAACCCAAAACAACAAAAGATCCAATAATTCAACCTGAAGAAAATCAAGTAGAACAATCAACACAATCCCAAGCCACTAGCTATTTATTTGTTTAGAGGCTAAGGTAAAAAGTAAATATACAAACAATTTTTTTTGTTGTGGAGACCGACAAAATGAAAAATCCAACAACTAGTTTTGAATCAAATGTGCCTTTAGAGATGCGAAACGCAAATTCAAATATTCGAAAGATAATGGAATTGAGTTTCCATCAAGACAATGATCCATATAGAATCTTGCATTCTTATTTTAAGTCAATTTGCTAGAATTAGTATTTTATATGTCCTTTTAATATTTTTTAGTGTCAGGAGTATTTTTTTAATTTTCAGAATTTCTAGAATAGGTCATATTTTTTGGTCAAATTCTAATGTTGAATATTCTAGAATTTAAAGTCCTAATTTTAGTTTTCTAATTTGTAGAGACATAGTGTTTTTAGAGTCCTAGAGACATTGGAATCCTAATCTTTTAGGATTAGGAATACTTAGAACTCTATATATAGTTAGTGCTACTTTTAATAAAATATCTCTAGAGAGAGAGATTTAAAAATTCCCTTCAGTTGTGTGATGCCTAAGGAACCCTAAGAGTGATTCCTAGTCAAAGTTACTGTTCACATGCACTGTTCACAGCCCCTATTTAAATTTTACAAAGTTGTCCTACATCACCCGGTCCTTGCAAGCATGACTTAAACATAGACATACTAGAACAAGTCTCTATGTATATATGGAAGATACACACTAGGTCACACGCGTAATTCCGAAAAGGTGACACAGCTGACAAAGAAGGAAAAAATAACCAGAGTAAACTGCTCGATTCACTCAACAGATATAGCAAATCTACCTGGTATAAGAAACCATAGTCAGTGTGAAACCAAAAGAATGTAGACCCTAGAAGTGGTCAGTTGACATTGAACAGCAATTAGTAGATGGCCCAACTCTCAATCTGACCGTAGTTATAGTTATTTGGAGTGTGTTTGACAAAAATTCCTCTGTTCAGCAGTCATCACCAATTGCAAATTGCATAAAACAGTTCATCATCATGTGCAAAACAGAGCAAGAGAAAATATAAAGGAAATGATGACATCTGCATCAAATGGTGAAGCGATTATTAAGTTCCAGTATGAAGGAAAGCAAAACCTAACAGGACAATTGGCTCACAAATTTATAAGCAAAAAAAGAGTGTGCATGCGCGTGTGTATGATTGAGACAGAGAGAGATATCAAGGTGCAGAGAGCAAGGCAGAAGTTTTAATCAACACTTTCCGATCATTTCTAGTGTTGTGTTTCAGCAATTTAAGTCAATAACATACTTCCATTTCGGATAGAAAGATATGGCTTTACTTTTTTTTTTTTGGGGGGGGGGGGGGTGTGGAATGAAGAAATACCCCTTTACTAAAAGCTCAAAGAGCAAACAAAGCTTCCAAGTTCCAACTCAATCAAACAAAGCATGATTGCTAAACACAACTTACTAATTTGAACACACCACTACTCAAGCAGCTATGTGATTTCCAAATATGGCAACCTGAAACACCAAAAACCATCCACTCACGACCCCCAAATTCATGGGATTCAGGCCAAACCTAGTCTTCCTATGTTCCTCATGTCCATATGTTCCACAGCATCCACAGCCATGACCATCAACAGGCTACTAACCAAAGCAATTGGTGCCGAAAATATAAGTACCAACAAAAATAACCAGCAAAAGTTAACTCGTTTTCTCTCTCATGAAGCCCACACGCATAAGAAGAGATACTTGGTATTAGCTAATACCCAATTCCATGACTAGGACACTGGTTAAACCATCAGACTGTCTTATGAAAAGATATGGGCTAGTGTTCTTGGAAAGATCCAGATTGATTGTTCGCTAAAAGGAGGAAACTTGGAAGAGGATTTGGTGAAAACAAGAGTAGTTTGTCTTATGGTTGAACACAAAGATGGGCTGTTACCCAGTGTACTATTGGTTTCAAGATCACAATCATATGCCAATTACTAAGTAAGAAATACCATTCACTGGACACTTGTCATCCATCTATGGTTCCAAAACATCAACTAAATAACGAGCACCCTCAATGGAAATAGGTTGTATGATTGTGTCCACACCTATCCACACCAAATCCCTCCGCACAGCGCACACATCCAAGTCTCCATCCACCCTTGCTCTTCTGCTTAGCTTGTGAAACACATGCTCCTTCTCCATCATCCAACAAACCCCAAGGAAGCCTCCTCAAAAATTCAACAATATAAACACTTCAGATTTGGAAAATATTCAACACATCCCAACTGACGATGAGCCAAATCTTTAAAACATATCACCAAAACAAACTTACCAGATACAATCTACAACCTTCCCCAATTGGTACAGATCTAAACTCTCACTTTATGGATGCCTCCAGAACTTCTCTCAGTATACCATCTTCTACATCCATTCGGTGAAAATGATGATAAGACATTAGGGAGGGGAGAGCAGCCATCGCTTCAAAATCTTGAAAGATTGACAATGACTTCATCATCTTCTCTCCTGGCTGTTCCAGCGACGTTCCTCAGAAGTTACGATGGTGATTCTTTGTCTTCGATGAAAATGAAAAAGGATAATGAAACCCTAATTGAAAGCAGAGATCAAATCTGTTCAGCCATTGGTGAAATCATGCAAAAGAGATGTTCTAAATAGATTAGATGGTATGACTTTGGGGAGGGGGAGGATCGGCATGAAAACCCCTTTGGAGAGCTTTTCTCTCTAGGTTCTAGAGAGAGAGCTTTTCAAGAAACCACTTTCTCACTCTTTCCCAATATCTCATCCCAACTAATTAGATTGGAGACATAAATCCCATTCTGTTGTTGTTCAACCTAGTCAGAAGCCAACATGTGGCATAAGATCTTAATCCATTCCCACCAACCCTGCCTACAATATTTCCAGTCAGCCAAAACGATCTCATAGTACGTCACTTCTCCCTCTTGGCAATGTCTCATGAACCATCTCACCTGTAGCTAGCTAAATTTTTCGAAAAGCCCATGTTTTCTTAATTCTTCTCCTTTTAGCCACTAACAAAATATGTAAGCAACACACCTGCAGAGAAGGTAGCCTAAAACTACTTAAACTTTGTATTACCAGGACAAGAAGTTGAAGTTCATTGGGTATAACAATAGATCTTGTGATTTTAGCCTTCCTACCATCTATAATTCACCGTCACCAATTTCTTATATATCTCAATGATCACCGCACTTTTAAAGGATTAAAAACAAAAGAATCTGGTAAATATAATAAAATGTAAGAAAATCTTACAGTGAAGGTGATCTTCTAATGATCCCAAGGACATGAATTCATAGACAAGAAGCCGTTGGTCCCCATCAGCACAGTACCCAATCAAGTTCACTAGGTTAGGGTGATGGAGAAGGCTGAGCATGAGAACCTCCACTAGAAATTCCCTGTTGCCCTGAAGCCCATTTCTATCCAGTTGCTTGACAGCTACAACCTGTGGTAGACAGCCCCCTAATGAGTACAATTGCATGTAGGGCAACTTCTCAGAAAATATAACTCAAACCACCCTGAGGATGACTGAAGAAATATGGGGTCCACTATGGATCAGCAGATAAGTAGTAAAGATTTTAGTTCTCTCACATCTTCTGCTGATTATTTATTTTTATGTACTTCTTTCGCCACTTCTTTTTGGTCTCTTAGGCCCCAAGGCCCTCCACATTAACAGGCCCAAATCAGCTGCCTCTGTTTTGAACTCCTGTCCTACAGATGGATTAATTTATCGCCAAAAATACAGCACCCAAATGTATGGTGTTGAGTAAGGATTATTTTTACATGCATTGTCTCTTTAAATTGTAAATATTTCTGAAGAGTTCTACCACCTTAGTTGCCTTGTTTTATGAAAGTTTGGAAAATATGTTGTGGCAAATTCGGAATAAATGAACCCCCATTTATAAATAAGACAGAAGCCCCAAGTGGAATCAACCTAAATGGGATTTCATAACCATAAATCCACAAAGAAAAGAAGAATTTACCTGGCCCGTGCTATGAAGCCGCCCTTTGTATACACGTCCAAATCCTCCTTCCCCCAAGAAGGAATCTCGCCTGAAATTGTTCGTTGCAGCTGCAAGCTCCCGAAAAGTGAACGTTTGTGCAGCAATCATAACATCCGGTGCATCCTTTGGCCCTGATGATTCCCTCCTTAGTCCTGCATTGCTTCTTGTTTTGAGTCTATCTGCACCTGCAAATCCAATAGACAATCCAGATCTCTAAGTACTTGGGGAAGTTAAATCATGACATCTTCAATTAGCAATGGTAAGACAAAAAACTAAATAATATTCATACATAAGGGGACACAGTGCTATTGTGTTAGTGCAATAATTGGGAGATTGAATTATGCAATAATTGGGAGATTGAATTATGCACCGATTGAGATCTGATCCCAAATTATAAATTGTGAAATATCATCCTGAATTTCAATGCATTGTGGAATCTAAATTCACTAAAGTGAGCTTGCAGCGACACTCCATGAAACAACTATTGAACATTAACATTATTCCATCCACATTTTGGACTGGTAATTATCGTCGGATGAACCCGAGCAATCATGGTCAACTTGAGATCTCATTTCACCGTGAATTGAAAGAACAAAATCCATCGTAAACTATATCATCCTACCATGAGTCTATCTTAAAAATGGACAAAAGACTAAATCGGATGACTCATATACAAGTATCACTGAAATCACATACCAAACTGCATAGAAGTTACTATTCATAAATCAGCAACACCCAGATCAGATCAAACAACAGTACAGCAATTTCAACATGTAGAGAAAGAAAGGGAAATTAAGAAGACACTAACCAGAAGATAATCGGGATATGTTAGAGGGAGCAGTTTGGTGGCTTTCATGTCGATCGTTTCTGTCTTTCTGGGGTTTAAACTTTTCCTCTTCCTTTGAATCAAAACACGGAAAACAACCCATTCTACTTTCTCAAAATCCCAACTTTCTTTCAAATCCCTGTTCTTGAATATCTCCGATGCACCCAAAATTAATCGACTTCGCCCATTCCTAAACTCATTCTCATCAAAGTAGCATAGAAAATTTAAACGGTATACATGTATCTGTTTGTGGGTAATGTCAATCTTTTGAATGGATTTCGGATCAGCTAAAGGAAGGAGACAAATAAATTAGATGAGACAAAGACAAGATGGATTATAGAATGTAGATAGTTGGTAGTGCTGGTGGTGGGTTGTGTGTGTGCCTGAGCTGTAGCCGGCTTTTTCTAATATCAGAGATGAGATCTTTCTCTACCCCTTCCGATGCATATAGGTTCATTTGGTTACGGTGTTGTGAAGAAAGGAAGTTAGTTTTGTATAAATAAACAAAATATAAGATTATATTTTATAATTTAGTATTTAACAAGTCATTGAATTAAGAGCAAAAATTAGAGTACTTATTAGATATTGCAAAAAACAAATTATCAATTCAGTATAGTTATTTATATTTTTATTTATTCGGAGGATAAAATAATAAATTTATAATTTAATACCCTTAAACTTAATTATAATATCTCCATGTAGTATTATAATGGGTTGAATAATACAGATATGACGTATTAATCGTATACATATTTGAAATAAATTTTTATATAATACATAATATTTTTTGCAGTCAAATATAACATAAGATTAATTTAAAGAGTTTTAATATGTTATAATTTTATGATTTATTCTTTAATACTGCAAGAGGTTATTTGATAACATAAGACCTATGAATTAAACTCGTTTGACATAAAACTCATACCACTTACTATTTTAATTACTTCTTAAAAACAAGTTAAAATTTTAAGTAACAAATCGTGTACTTATCACTTAATGTTAAAAATATTAGTTAATAATGATTTTATCAATTTCTCATAAACAAATATACTCTCAATAAATTTTAAACTTTTAACTTTTTAATATCCACCACCACCTAGTGCCCCCGCCATCACTACTGTCACCAGAATTGTGTTGTTGCCATCACCAACATTGTTTTGCCGCACACCACTATGACCATTGTGCCGCCTTCACGCCACTGTCTCCCCCACCATTTGTGTCGTGCTTATTACTGCCACCCCCAATATCATTGTGATGGTGATGGTAAGAATAAGAAAATTACGGAGAGATACTAAAAAAGAGAGTAAAATTAGAATAATAATACTTTTGAAATTCTAACTATTTATATTTGTCAAATAGTTTAATTCAATTTAATATTTAAATTTCAGTTGATATGAAAATAATTTGCAAATTAAACAATTCAATATTCAACATTTAAAATTTAATATTTAATTTTCATTGTTTAGTTTTCTATTTTGTCAATTACCATCTAAACGACCCATATATTTATTCCTACAAATACTTATGAGTAACTATAAATGTGTGCATTTAACGATCCATTCGCACCGTTTTGACTTTTGGTGGTTTGACCAATCAATAAACCATTTTCTTTTCATAGTTTAGTTCATAGATAATTTTTTTGAGTCATGTGTGCACATTCCCATTATGTTGACCAATATTTTTTTATTAATTTTATATATTTCAAGTGATTTGATAAGGTTTTCACTATCAAATAAATGAGTCTTATTAATATTCAATAATAAAAATTATGTGATATTAATTGAAAAAAAAAATTTAGCAATAAAATTAATACACATAATAATATTGTTGACACACACATTACAATTAGATATCGGTGGGATTTCCTTATTTAATGGTGATAAATGTGTGAAGATTTTGTCATTAAGATTTACATGAAAGCTTTTGGTGAGAGGAGCAAGAAAATTTATTTCTAAAATTGAAGTGCCAGTACCGTGAGTTTGAATTTTGTTAATTTTTTAGAATTAGATTATAAAACTCTTAATATCGGTGTGAATGATTTTCTTTTGATTGGTTAAAGAGAAGATTAATCGAGATGCATGTAAACTGACTTAAACACTTTTGATCGTTGAACCGAAAAAAGAAAAGAAAAGAACAAATAAGGGTTTCTCCCTCATGAATTTTTTAATTGCGACGTGGATGACCTGTTTTTAATCAGATCAGAGAAGAGATTAATAAAAATACATATAAATTGATCTAAACATCCTTAATCGTCAAACTAAAAAAAAAACTCTTGAATGTGACATATGATCCATCGATTACTAAAAAAATATGAGACTTGTGGTTTACTTGTTTTTTTTTTCGCATTATACCAAATTAACTTTCATTTAATAACATTTGCTCTCTAGGTAGCATGTAGAGTCCAGATACTCATTGCTCATGTATAGCTTGCTTGAGTCGTGATGGGCCGAAAAAGGGGTGATCAGAGATCTTGTGTTTACTCGTGAAAAATTGACACATTTTCTCATTCAACAATGGAGGGACTCAAATGTGCCACATCAAAGCTAGTCCGAAAACGTGATGCATTAACGGACAGCATGTCCCGAAAACAAACAAAGTTTTGTGAATCACGACTCGGGATTCCTTTTATTATTTTAGCCATCACAGGGGTCAAATTACATACAAAATTCTGTTTTGTGATGGGATTGAGATTTCACACTTAATCTCAATCAAACGCATACTAGAGGTCAACACAAACAAAGTATCAAATAGATAATGGTTTATTGATAGGTCAAATTTACAATACCGGATTTCCCTTCTCAATGTATCAAGACATGTCCAGCCCATGATTTAGTTTTTCAAGCTTGCAATGCACCTCAATTGGAAGCTACACAACTACGCCCTTTTCGTTTGTTTGTGTTCAACGTGTTCATACATGTGTTGTCTCTCTCAATCATACATGATACTTCTAAATTCCACTGATCATCAACCCCAGAAGAAGCCATCTTTGAAATATGGGAGTGCTTAGCCAAGTACATCCCCACCTTGGCTAGGGCACCAAGTGTCACAGGTTAGTCACCCACATGTCATAGTCGTGCCAACGAGATAAGGGGTTAACACTAGCCATGCATAAAACTGTGATAAAAGAGATCTCAAGCTAAAATATTCTAACTTTGATCATTAAATCCTCCTTATTTTTGTTTATGCACTCAGAAGCAATGCTCTTTTTTGGATATTATTTGGGTATAAAACGAGTATTTGGGTTATTCTATAGTTTTGATTATATTCTCATTTTCCATATTATTTTGAACAAAAATAAATTTGGAAAGATTTGTGTTGAAGGCCTCTATAATGTCACACTCAAAGTTCACATTAGATCGATGAACTTTAGAGTAACATATTGACAATCCTAAATACTTTTTTTTTTCTCTGAAAAAAGGTGAAACACGAGAATTTTTTAGGGTTGCCTATTCTAGTACTATTCTCGCCCAAATACAATTAATTGTAAAGTTTTGATGAGATTCAATGTATTAGTATTGGTATGATCATACTCATACTAATAGTTGATAGTACATTGACATAGATTGCACAAAATCATAAGTACCCCAATAGCCAAGTGAAATCATTGATCATTAGGCAAAACTAAAGAGTCAATTGATTTTTTAAAAATTTGAATTATGTGAAGTTGGACTGGACTTTACAGTGTGAAATTGACTCAATGAGAATGCTAAGATTTGCTAAGAGACTTACAACCTATTCCTCAAATGGAACAAATACACGAATTACGTGCCAAACACAGTGTTTTATGATAAAACATTATGACATAATTTTGAGATATCATTGGTTTTAAAGCGGGTCCTTTTATTAGATGAGATCTATTGTCTATCTCGTTATAGTAACGTAATAGTTCTCAAATTATATCTCTAAATTATATACAAGTTGGATCATGATCAAAATCGAAAAGAATTCAAAATGCATGAGAGAAGAAAATTCAAAAAAAGTGAGAGAATCTCGCAACCGAGTGGTAGCTGGGGACATAACATTTTGATTCAGCCATCAGCCCAAATGCATCTGCTTGGAATTTTCTATAATTTTTAGAAGAAAATTCTGGAGTTTTTTATTTTACTTAATGTACGTAGTGCAGCATGCGTCTGATTCATAAGCCTCCATTATTAGCTTAAAAAACGATGTATTATTTATCATGTATGCCTCTAAAAGCTTAGGACAATATATTGCTGGCTTCCCCAATCGGAGGAGGCATGATTTATAGGCTGGCCACTAATGCTTGCGTACATGATTTCTAAAATATTTTGTTCTATGTACTTTTTGTCAAATAAATTTAATTAGGTATACCGACTTCCAAAGAATCCATATATTAATTTTGAATTCAAAGTGGGTATTGACGAGTCCGGATTCAAATCAGACTTGTGTCCGGTCTATGAGTTGAGCTCAAATCATCAAAAGATAGGTTACACCTATTTCATGGCCTCAGTTTAAGAGTCCAAAAAAAGTCAACACACGTGGGAAAACAATTATCGTGATAACCATTATTTTAGGGTAGTTCATATTCCCAACTGTACCTATACTCCCCAAAAGACTAGTAGTGTGACCTTTATATCACCACCTCAGTTAGAACTCTGTATATATAACTTGTAAGTCCTCTACACATGATGGAGACATAACTATCTCTCACACACTTCACCTCGAGTGTACTATTGCTCTCTCCCTCTCTCCTACTACTTTATACTCTCTCATTAATAGAGTTTTTTGACCACCGTTGCCATCTTCAATGGTTAGGTCACCAAAATCTAACTACCCAATCTTTATCTCTTATTGTTGATTACTTCATCAATTGCTTCACAACACACACTCGACTTATTGATTGCCCATAAATTCATTTTTGTGCATCATCAGTTTGGCGTCGTCTGTGAGAACGATTTGATTCTCACCTTACAATCTTCGTCCCTTCAAGACTATCTTCAATGGCAATTACAATCAGATCTATAAACCACCAAGCAGAAGATAACTTGCCACACCACGACGAGGTTTCGTCACCATCGACGAACCCCATCCCTAAATCCTAACAATTGTTGGAGACCATTCAACAATTGGTTAACCAAAACTAGCAGATCCTCACACTGAGGATGTCACTAAAGCAAGGCAAGCTAAGTCCTCACATAGTCGGGAATACAAAAAAGTAGACATGTGCAAAATCTACTTTTTCAATAATTTGTGGTTAAAGCTCAAATTTAGTGAAAAATAAGTGTTTTTTGAGAAAATTTGGTGCCCAAGTTGCTGTGGATAGTTTGATTGTTATAGATCTCGAAAAAATATCTAGATTAAAAAAAATTCAACTCAAACGGACAACGGAGCTCAAAGTTATGGTCTTTTAAAGTTTTGCAGTTTCTTTATGCTTTTCTAATACTCCACCTTGTGCCAATGCTAGCACCCAACATCTTAGCGCCAGCCCTTGTGTCATTTAGAGCATCATGGCGTCGTCTACCCCTTGGCGTTAACCAAACTGCTTGCTCCAAGGGCATCGCCTAAAACCTTGGCGCCCTCAACCAACGCCCCTTGGCGCGCGTGCCAACTAGGGAACCCCTAATGTTAGCCGGCGGCCAGCACTCACCAATGCTTGCATGGTGTCACCCAGCTTGGCGCCGCCTCTGCGCTTGAAAGATGTTGCCAGCATGTGTCGCTTAGTGCCTGCCCAGCTGGCGTCGCCTTTAGCTGCCTAGGCATGTTGCCTAGGCCACTGTCGCTAGCCATCTCCAGTGTCTAGGGCGTCGCCCAAGTCACTGCACAGTCGCCTCCTCCTGCCCTTATATGGGTGTCGTCGCCTCCTATGCCCAACCCATTGCAAAGTCCAATGACGTCGTCGCCACTGCTAGCACCGCCCAACTTGCCACATGGACCTAAGTCGCCTAGCATGTCCCCGACACCTTGCATGTCCCTGGCACGCTGTGCGTCACTGCCCAGCACCTTGACGTCGCCCTCGGCCAGCTCCAACTCCACCGACGCCAAAGTTTGCTTCGCTGAGGGTGTCGCTTGGCTAGCTCTAGCCCCACCGGCGCTGCCTAGCACCTCACAATGACCAATGCCCTGCAGGCCATTCTTGGCGTCGCTCAGCCCTCCTCTGGCACCATCACATTCTATGTCTGTTGTCAATTTCGTCGTCCTCCCTCTTGCCTTCTTGCTCTTCTCCTATAACCTCCCTCAATGGCTTATAGAATGGAGAAGATAAGAAGGGGATGAGTCAAATCTATATATACTAACCTTTGAAGCCCTAAGGATGATACCCTCACCTTGGCTTTTGTCTTGCTTACCTTGGTGCATGCCTTCTCGTCCGTCTAGGTGCACCACCACATTGTGTGCCCATCGACACCCATGCTTGTTGGCTTTATCCTACCAGTGCCTTCTAACTACCCTATTTATCCTCTATTTCCTCTTTTCCACCTCTTAGGAGAAAGCCTCCCAAGGTGTGCTCAGCATCACTCTGTCGCTGCCCTCATGCAAGCAACATATGTCTCTAGCTTAGCGCCTCTCTCGCGAGTCACCACAAGCTTGGCCTAGTCCTGCCTCTGCTCTCAAGTAATCATGAGTCGGCAAAAGTTCGGCATAATCTTGCCTCTACTCTCAAGCAATCTCAATCCCCAGCTAAGCGGCATTCTCAAACGTTGTCAAAAGCTCAACCTCACTCTGTCTCTACTCTCACGCAAGCAGCCTATGTTTCCAGCTTAATGGTTTTCTTAGTCTAACTCTGTCTCTATTCTCATACATACAATCACAATCTCCAACTTAGCGACTCTTTCACGAGTAGTCAAAAGCTCGGCCTAATCTTGTCTCTGCTCTCACGCAGGCAGCCTCAATCTACAATTTAGCGGCTCTCTCATGAGTCGCCAGATGCTTGGCCTAACCCTGTCTCTACTCTCACGCAGGCAGCTTCAATCTCCAGTTCAGCAACTTTCTCACGAGTCCCCAGAAGCTTGGCCTAACACTACCTCTAATCTTACGCAAAAAATTTCAGTCTCCAACTTAGTGGCTCTCTCACGAGTTGCCCAAAACTCGGCCTTAAGACATGTTGCTCTCTTATGAGCCAACCTTAACTACTCCTCAGCAACCTAGCACGCCCACCTTTCTTCTACCAAAGCTCTCGACACTTCATCAAGTTTGAGTGTCCTCGAAAAAGACAAGGAAAAGCTTCAATCATCTACGAATATCCAAATGCAACAGTGTCAGTATGACCAAAACATACAAAAGATAAGATTGCACAGAAAAGAAGGGTACCATAGCAAAGCCCTCTATTGCGGTATTGATGTTTACTCTCAAGACCCTGAGATTGACCTCTCTAATAGCCGAGGTTGTCAAACCTCCAAAGATGCTCCTAGGCCAAATTCACGTCCTACATCATGGGCACCGAGCCACTGTTGGAAGCAGGATAATTATGCGGAGCTCTGGTCTTAGTGGAAGTTTGCACAGAAGTCCCAATCTCTAAAGAAGTCCCACGACGAATCCTAGGACTCAAAGGTTCATATGTGAGAAGAAACGGAGACAACATCAGACCCCTCCTTCCGAGAAACAATAAGGAGATCAAACCTTAGCTGGGAAGCTCTAGGGGCATTAAATCTTTCCATCTTGGGATGAGGGGAAGTTGTCATCCTAGCTACATGGAGAGCCTTCACCATTAATCTATCAACCACAAAATCACCTATGGCATTGCCCAGGTTCATCTCCATGGCGGCACCCAAGCCTCTCTCTGTTTCCAAGGCGCTATCATCAAAGCATCTCCATCTCCTCGAGCAAAAGCATGCCTCTTTTTCTCCTTTCTCTACTACTTGTAGGCTACCAAACGAGGAAATAAGCTTTGAAAAATGCAATGGAGTGGAAAACTGAAGAAGCCACCATATGGAACAAGGTATCTAGTCTATCCAAATGAAGGAGCTCACTTGTGCCCTTAACCCCCAATTACTACTAGGGCTTGGGGCATTGGGGACAAATGATGAGCCCATATTCAGACCAGACCTGGGCTTAGTTCATGGTTTGAGCCAAGTCATAAAAAAGCAGGTCAAACCTATTTCATGGCCTCAACTCAAGAGTTTAGGAATAGTCGACACACGTGCGAGAATAATTATGGGGATAACCATTATTTTAGGGTAGTGCCTATCCCCAACTGTAGCTATCATCTCCGAAAGACTACTAGCGTGACCTTCATGTCACCGCTTTAGTTAGGGCTTTGTGCTTATAAATTGTAAGTCTTCTACACATGAGGGAGACACAAATATTTCTCACAGATATCTCACACACCTCACCTTGAGTGTACTATTGCTGTCTCTCCCCCTATTACTTTATACTCTCTCATTAATAGAGTTCTATGGTCCTCGTTGCCACCTTTAGTGGTTAGGTCACTTAGACCCAACCACTTAATCTTTGTCTCTTATTATTAATTGCTTCATTAATTACTTCACAACACACACTCGACTAATTGATTATGCATAAATTCACTTTTATGCATCATCAAGTATGAACTGCCAAAAAAATAAAAAGAATCATACGATGTGGTGTTATCATAACGATATTATTAGTTTCACTTTTACATATTTAAAATTTAAAATTTTTTTATTATGGTAATACCACATTATGAAATTAATAAAAATACATAATTTTAATTTTAATTTTAAAATATTGAAGCGATAGCCATCATATCTGCTCATTTAATAGAACGATACAAATCTATATAATAAAGTAGTTAGACTGTTTGTTTTAAACTTTTTACAGTTCAGATCGTTTTGATTCGATGGTCATAATTAAACTTTCATTTCTTTTACAACTATAATACTCTCATCTCTCATATAAATCTCTTTCTCTCTCTCTCATACTTTTATTTCTTTTTCCTCTGTGTTATTTTTGTTATTATTTACTCCATAAAACAGATGAAACTACATTTTATGCAATTATTTATTCTTTGAAAGTAATTCAATGTTTTTATATATTTGACAATATGTATTTTACCACTTGCTTCTTAATTTGTAAATAACACTTAATGTAAATAAAAAAATAGCATATTGACTATAAACACTAAACAATATTCAACACGAAATGAACGTTAAATTGTAAATTTATATATAAGTTTATCAAAAAATGACATTTAATTTTGTCTAATTTATATTCAAATTTTTTGAATTAATATCAAATTAAATTTTATTGTTATCAAATTAATATTGAAATTTATTTAATTAATTTTTTGGAGTACTAAATTATATCAATTTTTTGGCTACGAAATCTAAATTTATTTGATTTTATTAAATTTTAATTTTTTTTTGGTATTGAATTTGGAGAAAGGCAATTGTAAAAATAATAAAATTTTCTGAGATGAAATTATCAATTTTCGTTAGCAATATTGACAGAAGGGATATAAAGGAGGTCTCTGTGCAATGTATTTTAAACATCAGGGGTCTCCATGTTATTTATAAAATGTCAGGAGGTGTTTGTGTAATATTACCAAAACTCAAGTTATGTCTGTAATTTTTACCTTATTTTTTAATTAAATATTAATTTATTATTATTTTATCTTACAAATTTGAATTATTGTATTTTTTAATAAAAACAGTTATTGGTTAGGAGACTTTGTTGGTAACCAAAAAAGAAATGTGTGTGAGTGTATTTATGTGTATATTTATCTATTGAGGATTAAAATTTTGGTGATTAAATTTATAATTATATTATGTCATTTTGGGGTTAAATGGTAATACTGGTGATAAATTCATGAGTTTTATAAATGAACATTATTTGGTTAATTTTATTTATCGCTTTAAGATTGTGAATTTAATTGTATTATGTTAATTTTTTTTTTTGCTTTAGATATTTATTACATGAGAATAGGGTGGATTGAGAATATGGTGGTTGAGTTTATAATTATGTTGTGTTATTGAATTGAGTAGTAGTAGAGGTGATAAATTTATGAGTGTTATAAATAAACAAAATTTTATTTAATACTTAAAAATTATAAATTTCAACGGGTTATGTTAGTATTTATTTTTTTCAGAGGCATTTATATATATAGTATTATTTTAGAGAGTTTTTATATATTTTTATGACAGTTCCATTAATATAAAGGATATAATCGACGATATATTTCGAGTTATTTTAAAAAAAGAATTAGTAAGAATATTTTTATATCATTTCTTTTGAATTTAAACACTTGTTTAAATTTTTTTTTATTGTATAGTCCTTTTAGACACGGGTAATAACTAGTCTGTCTATATTATTATAATACTCAAATTAAGAAAAGAGTGGCTTCCCTTCCCTTTCCCTTTCCCTTTTCTGATTTTTATGTTTATTTAATTCATTCATCCAACAAAACTCTAACATTTGGTTCATGTGAGTTGTGATTATCCTACCACTTTCTTATTAACTAACCACTATTTATTTAATTGTTTAAAAAAAATTTAGCTTTAATTTTGAATAATTTTTTATAAGTATTTGAATTTCTTAATAGGCTATAATTTCTCATAATTTTAAGATTACCCAAATAATGAGTAAAAAAAAGGGTAGGGGAGAGTTTAGAGATCTTGCGCATCGCAAGGGTCCTCGCACAAGTTAAATACTATAAGTCGTGGCCACCATAAACACACACCTTCTCAAGCGGGTAAAAGGTCAAGGACCACCCACCACATTCCAAAAATAAAAAAACCAGACAGAAACAAAGAAAACCTTATCCGTACACCCCTACTGTCCTAACCTCAAATTCAAATTAATCACCATTTTCAACCCGCTTCTCCAAAAATCATAAGCAAAACAACCGCAAGCACACTCTTCTTCCCCGGTTTGATTCCTCAATTCGTTCTCTTTTGCTTTTTCAAAAGAGACTCTCGGGGGTCAAAAAAAAAAAGAAGGCCAAATGGAGATTAATAGTTTTTCCAAAAGCAATGTCTACAAAAAGAATGACATTTTGAGTCCTAGAACACCTAGAACTCCACCGATTAGTGGAAATTCAGACAACAATCAATACAGTACATGGTCCTCTAATGACCAGGACAGCGAAGAAGCTGAGGGATCGTCTAATCATGGTCACAACATCCATGAAGTCTCTGAAGACATTGATCGGTTCACCGACTCTCTCTCCACTGCTGATGACAAATCAAATGCTCCGCAAGTCCCAGAAACGGTTGAGACGATTGTGAAAATTATCGAATCGAGGATTGCCAAGTTCAATTCTAACAAAACTCCAACAAAGTCCGGTAAGATGACCGAGGAAGACTCGTTTTTCATGGAAGCCGTGAGGAGTTTATCGAAACTAGCCAATGCTTTCAACGAATTCCCCTCGAGTTCAACCACCTCATCATTGCTTGACAGAACCAGCATGGTCTTGCAGAGAGCTATGGCGTTCATGGAAGAGGAGTTTCGTGCTATTCTGGAATATTCTGGAACCTCGAATGCAAAACATCTAAGCACAAAATCCTCTTCTTTCAATTCCATACAAGAAGAGTCCTCCGACCGTTGCATGTTGCCTGAACTCGAATCTGCCAGAGAAGATGATTATCCGGGATACTCACCAGAAATCGTAACAAAAATGAACAGAATTGCTATGGTAATGATCTCCGTAGGCTATGAAACGGAGTGTTGTAAGGTTTATAGCATTGCCAGACGAAAAGCATTCAATGACGCAATGAAAAAGCTTGAGCTCGAGAAGATAAATATCGAAGATGTACAGAGGATGCCCTGGGAGTCTCTCGAAGGAGAAACCACAAGGTGGATCAAAGCAGCCAAGGACTGCTCCAATGTCCTCTTCCCCGGGGAACGAAACCTTGCAGAATCGGTCTTTTCGGAGTATCCATTGATTTCTCGAAGCCTATTCTCTAACCTCGCACGTGCTGTAGTCATACAACTTCTTGACTTCGCTGAGGCCGTGGCAATGACGAAACGATCGGCTGAGAAGCTGTTCAAATTTCTTGACATGTATGAGACTCTTTCTAATCTCATTCCGGCGATCAGTGGGTCAAGTTCCGATGACAATCACCATGAAATGAAGTCTGAGATCTCCTCCACCGGCGACCGGATAGGGGAGGCTGCCGTGAACATCTTCTGTGATCTCGAGAACTCGATAAAGGGCGACGTTGCAAGAACTCCAGTGCCCGGTGGCGCAGTGCACCCCCTGACGCGGTATGTCATGAATTATTTAAAATACGCCTGTGAGTACAAGAAAACCCTAGAACATATATTCCAACAACATGCAAAGCTTGAAGGGTCCTCCATTGGTTTTATCAAATCGAACCTAGAAACTGAGAACGAAAGCCCTCGTGGTAATCAAATTATGGCAAATGCGACGCCGTTTTCAATACAATTAATGACAGTTATGGACCTCTTGGACTCAAATTTGGAGGCAAAGTCAACACTGTATAAGGACCTTTCATTACGCTACATTTTCATGGTGAACAATGGTAGATACATATTACAGAAGGTCAAGGGGTCCACAGAGATCCACCAGGTGATGGGTGACACGTGGTATCGGAGAAGATCAACGGTGGTGAGGCAATTTCACAAGAATTACCAGAGAGAGACATGGGGTAGGGTTTTGCAGTGTCTAGGTCACGAGGGTTTGCAAGTGAATAAGAAGGTGCAAAAGCTAGCGGTGAAAGAGAGGTTCAAGACTTTTAGTACGGTTTTTGATGAGATACACAAGACACAGAGCACGTGGGTGGTGAGTGACGAACAGCTTCAGTCAGAGCTTCGAGTATCTATATCAGCTCTGGTGATTCCGGCGTACCGGTCGTTCTTGGGGAGGTTCCAGCAGCACTTGGACGGTGGAAGATCGGCGGAGAAGTACATCAAGTATCAACCAGAAGATATTGAGACCTTAATTGAGGGACTCTTTGATGGTAATCCGACGTCCATGAATAAAAGGAGGACGTAGACATGGACGAGTAGAAAACTAAGAAAAAAGGTAGAGTTGAGGACTCTGTGTTTGTATTTGGCTTCACTTTTGCATTGTCTAATAAATTCGATGCAAAACTATGTTAATTGTTTTTTTTTTTTTGGAAACAATAAGGAAATGTGGTACAGAATGCTTACTTTTGAAGGTCTCGTTGCATTGAAATTTTCGGCATAAAGACATTGACCCAATTGAAAGTGAATCTCAGGTGACATTGAGATTCCTGACTATTTTAATGTCTATAATAAATTAAAATTTCGAATTGGATTTGAATAGACTTTTTTTTTTTTTTTTTTATCTTTTTGAACAGGCCATTGAGATTTTGATAGTTCCATCTTCTTTTGACAAGAAATCCACCTTTAGAAAAATAATGTAGATAAGGAAAAGGGTATTTCACACGAATGCTTGAATCTTTACTTATTTTTATTTCGAAATTGATCGAAAATATGATAAAACTAATGTAGTGAGGTAGTATGTTCCTTGGAAAAGAAAGGTCTATGTGAACAGGAACTGATCATTGCTTGTTCTTCATTAAAATATGCATATTTGTCTATTCAAAACAAAATTATTTATAAATGTATTTCCTCCTAGAAAATAGGTGAAAAAGAAAAAATTGAACAAGTTGAGATGCTATGAGTTGATTGTAATGGACTTGAGAATAACAAGTATAACTTTTTCTGAACAAACACATATAGATGAGCAATGTTATTCTAATCATCATTTGGGATCAAATTGATAAACCAAATATTGTGGCAAAAGATCTGGCCGGCTCTCAGCCAAGAAGTATGGGGAGGGGGAGATAACTATGTTATTAGTTTATAATTGCCACATCATTCGTATCACAATTTTGATCCTAATTTTAGATTATTTTAAGTGTTTTGAATATACATACTCTACAGATATATGTGACAAAATAAACAAAGAAATTTGATAAAGCGAAAAGATTAGGGATGCACACATAGTCAAATGTTCAAGAGATAACATTGGGTGTAACAATTATAATATGTCAGTGTCACGTGATATTACCTTAGTCACACAATTTGTGAGTTATAAACAACTCTCCACCACTCAAAATATCAATTCACAAATTAAGAGCGAATTCGACAATAATACACACTCTCACTTTTCTAAATTTGTGCCCTCACTTTCCAAATTGGCAAACTCAAATAATTAATTGATTTTTTTTAAATTTTAACAGTTTACCATAAATATAACTTTATAACTAGGCTAACACATTTAAGGGTGTTTAAATTTTCAATTGGCTGCAATTTTTTGACCCTACTCGACCCTACCCTACCCTACTAAACGGCTAACCGCAAAAATTAGGTAGGAATACAGAAGAATTTTTGGTCTTTCGATTAAATCAAGTAAGAATGCGGAATACTCATCAATTTTCGCATTCCTATCCTATCATAACCGCAAAAAATATATTTAATTTTTTTATATTTTTTTAGTAATTATAAGAGTATTTGTGTGGTATAATTTATATTATAACATTGTTATTGTTGTGGATGTTTGAGTTGCGAAAATATGAACTTGTTTTTTGTGTAAGTTACATGATTTGTGGTGAACTATTGGAGCAATTATGATTTTAATGTGTTTCATATGGTTTAAACTTAAAATAATTGTTTGTATTTGTGTAACAATTATGATGGATTGATGTTCATGTTTTTTTATGTTTTATTATAATTGTTGTTGTAGTTGTTTTAGATTTTAGTGTTATTGATTTATTGTGTTGTTAAATTGGTGCATGTTAATTATTTGAATTGTTAAAATGATCCAAAAATTAATAACTACAAAAATGTTTATCAAATCGGGTAGGAATATCACACCTAATCAGGTAGAGTAGACGAAGAAAAAATTATTCTGTAAAATATTGGGTCAGAAGACGAAGAACAATTTTTTTTACCCTTAAAATAGTGTGAACACCCTTAAAATAGTGTGAACACCCTTAAGCGCATTCATCAGTGTACTCACTTCAAAAAGAAGTTATCCAATTGTGGGTCTCACACACAACGGAAACATTTACCACACACTTTATAGGAGTGTGTTGCTGTCAAATCCCACTGGTCATCCGACGTGAGATGCGTTGCAATTAACAAAGAGCAATGTTATTGAGATTTAAAAATTTGACTAAATATACTGATTTAATTCATTGTGACATTTGAATTGACTGTAGATCTCATCAAACATTGAAACTTAATGTTGATCTAATGATTCTTATTGAACCACATCATTATATTAATAAATTATGTCAAATTTTTAAATCTAAATAACATTACTCACAAAAAAATATGGCTTTCAAAGACTTTTTATGAAGCTGTTTGTTGCCAACTTTTACTATGCCCATCCGATATGGTTCAAGATATAAAACTGTCTCTCAAAGGTTTTTTGATTAAGCATTCACCCTATTATATTATTTTTAATTTGTATATATATAAATATGTATATAGTGTGACACTCTCAAAACACTTCTACTCTAAGTTTTTTTTTTTTTTTTTTAATTTTCCTCTTTTTGTGCTCTTACTCTCGCTCTCGCCCTTATTCACTCTCCGTGTAACTTGGGGTGTAACTGCCCAATGATAAACAAATAAATAGGCAAAGTAGATTCTACTATTTCAAATAATCACCTCTCCATATAGGATAATAACCGCAAAGTTTGTAGCTAGGCGATACGCACACAAATACTTGAACGTTGCGTTAGACCGATTGGTCAAAATATAAAAAAGACGAGTTGTTAACATGAAACGAGCTTCACTTACCTATTTTTTTATTTATCATTGAATGATTACACTATGTGACAATGCTGACGTAACGTAACCGTTCACCCAATATTTATTCCTGTTGAAGATATAAATGAGGAGCATCCTTAATTGTTATTACGAAATGTTGCTTGCCCATCTTTTGATGTATGTTCAACTTCTTTAAATTCTTTACATACATATATTCATATCTTTATTTTGGTACTATATATATTAACGAATTTTTTTTTTCAGGTGTTACCAAACGAGTAGGTGGCTCCCAGAAGACCTTCGTCTTTTTTTATCATTTTAATTTATGCTTGTGCGGAGAAAACCATATGAATATTAAAATTGCTAATGTTCACAAAAGTATATGCTTGTGCGGAGAAAACCATATGAATATTAAAATTGCTAATGTTCACAAAAGTATAGTTTATTAATAAAACACCAATTAAAGTCACAACTCATATTAATAAGCGTTATACAAAAGAGTCAACAAAAAAAACTCACTATAAATTTATCTATAAAACCTAATCAGCTAACAAAAAATTTTGAACCAAAAAATTGGGCTCAATTATATATAGTTGAATTTTAACAAACAATCGAAACAAACATAAACTATAACTATTTTATTAAATTAAACTTAGGTATAGGAATTACTTAATCAATCACAATAAAACTATTCAAACCACCAAATCAAAACAATTTATTCTACCACATAATGGATGACTAAAAGCCTCAATGCCAATTTAACATATAAAAATAAAACAAATGAGAGGACTACAAGTTTCAATTCCAATTCAACATATAAAAGTAAAATATAAGAGAGGACTACAAACTCAAATATCAATTAAATATATAAAAAATTAAACCATAAAAAGAGGATTACAAGCTCCAATTTCATTTCAACAAAAAAATAAATCAATACAAGACTGATGATACACAAAAGTAAGTTTATGCAAAATCAATTAAAGATGAAGTAAAGAAAGCTCAACACAAGCAAATACAAAGATTAGAAGGTTTGGTCGGGGTGGCCTACTCTACTAGAAATGATGAGGATGGCTGGAGAATCTTATTACTTGAGAGGTATAGTGTGCTTGAGATGTGTGTGATGCCCCTCATGTGTAGGTGGGGCTTATAATGTATAGGCAAATGAGGTAATTTTCAAAGGGCTCTGATTGAGGCGCTATCCTCACAAGGAGCACAGTGATGCCATGAGTTTCACCTTATCCTTGTAACATGCAACGTGATAGAGGGGTGATCCCTTGAAGCTCGTTCTACCTTATAATAGGCGAGGTAATCTTGCAAGGTTGGTGATTTGTCTCTGATGATTGTGTTCCCATGATTTCTTCTCCTCAGATGGAGACTCTCATGTGCGTTGATGATGGACTGGGCCTCTTAGGAAAGTGGGCTTGGCCACATACCAATTGTGACTGAATTTTTGTTGTTCTGCATCTGTAATCTAGGCTTGGTCTGCACCTGTAATCTAGGCCTGGTTTGCATATGCATTCTAGACCTGGTCTGCATTTATAATCTGGGCTTGGTTTGTATCTCTAATTTGGGCTTGGTCTAGGCCGATTGTGGATCTACCACTATGTAATGGTGACACCATGACATCAACATCATGTGGGGTTACCAACCAGTGATAGAATATCAAGTGCATTTAGTAGACTCTACTGTTTTAATAACAATCAATAATTATTTTATCTAACATTGCCATATTGAAATAATAAAGTTTACCAATTTTACTTGTAATTTTTTAATTGGTTGGTGACACCATGTTGTATTGATGACTTGGTGTTACCATTAAACCCAATATTTACTCATAAATTAGGCTTCAAACATTGATGGTTCAGGTTAGGATTCTTGAGAATTCAAAATATTTCAACGCCAAAAATAATGTAAGAAATTCAGTTCAACTTTGATTGTAGTAAGGGATTTTTTTTGGATCCAGGATAGAGATAGAAACTGTAAGAGATAAAAAACTAAAAACCTCTCACACGAATGTATAATTGATATTTCTAGTAAAGATGTGTTTCTGAACTAAATCTCCCAACCTTCCCCCTCTTACAAAATGAGCAAACTGTCCAAGATCGAAATGCTTCGATCGAAGACACTCCAATGCTTAAGTCAGTAAGGGATTTAAAGCAGTTGCGAGAAGATAAGGAGAGTTCAACATACATTTCACCTTGACTCATTTTGCTTTTTATAGACTTTGTTCAATTAGGGCCTCCATGAATT